CAACAGCCATATGTGTCCAGTGGCTATTGTACTGAGAAGTGTAGATTACGGAAATGGTTCTCAATCAGGTTGGACTGAAATCCTTCTTTTTATAACAAATGACTTGTATTGTCCTCCACTATTCTGAATTGAAATTTATGGATACCATAACCTGTATTAGTTAGGGTGGGCTGAACAGCTATACCAAATAGACTCCGAAGTGTATAGTAGTTCAAACAAACAAAACAGAAATTTAGTTATTTCTCTTGGAGCAGTCCAGCATGTACGTTCATGGTCAGCAGATGACTTTTCTCCATCTTCATTACACATGAAGGTTCCTTCCACTTTATGGCTCATGTTACTATTATCCATTTTGTGGCCATCTTATTATCTGTATCCAGAAAGCAGACAGGGAAAAGAGAGCATACTGCTTCTTCTTCTTCTTCTTTTTTTTTTTTTTAAAGATTTTATTTATGTATTTGACACAGAGAGAGAGATGATGAGAGCAGGAACACAAGCAGGGGGAGTGAGAGAGGGAGAAGCAGGCTTCCCGCTGAGCAGGGAGCCCAATGCGGGGCTCAATTCCAGGATGCTGGGATCATGACCTGAGCCGAAGGCAGAAGGCAGACACTCAACGACTGAGCCACCCAGGCGCCCCGAGCATAAGGCTCCTTAAAAGCCTCAGCTCAGCAACAGCACATACCACATACCATTGACTTGAACTTGGATCAGTTAGATGGATACATTTAATATCATGGGAAGCTAGCAAATGTAGTTTAGTTGTGTGTTCAGGGAGTGTGAATAGCTACCCCTTATTTATGCATATACTGAAAAAAAGAAAGTGTAAAGGAGAGTAGTAAAGGAGAAATAAAAGGAGAGTAAGAGTAGTAAAATAATACGTATTTCAATATGTATTTCTAGCTATGCTAGAAAAAAAAATAAAGTCGTCAGATACTCAGAGTCATCATGAATGTGATAGCTGCAAATGCTGGGGTGTGGTGTGGGTGATTAGACCCCCTGAGTGGCCTTACTGTAGTGATTTTCTGAAAGAGTAAACAATTGTTGATACAGTTCTGAACAAAGTTGATAAATTCTGAACAAAGTATTACCTTCCTTCAATTTATAGGGTAGTTGCATTCCTGAAAAATTCAGTATATATTTAAACCATTTAAAAATAATTTCTGATTTGTGACACCATGGGTGGACTTTGAGGGTGTTATGCTAAGTGAAAGAAGTTAGACAAGGAAAGGCAAATACTTCACCATTTTACTTATATGTGGAATCTAAAAAAAAACTGAACTCATAGAAACAGAGATAAAGATTGGTGGTTGCCAGAGGCAGGGTGGGGGTGGGGGAAATGTAGGAAAGTGGTCAAAAGTACAAACTTCCAGTTACAAGATAAATATATTCTGGGGATGGAATGTACAGCGTGGTGACTATAGTTAATGGTACCATATTGTGTATTTGAAAATTGCTAAGAGATTAGATCTGAAGAGTTTGTAAGGTCATTTTTGAGGTGATGGATGTTAGTTAAGCTTATTGTGGCGATCATTTTACTATATATATATATCGAATCATTATATATATACCTTAAACTGATACCATATTATATGTCAATTATATCTCAATAAGATGGAAAATATTTAAAAACCCTTTATTATTATGTATGAAACAGAATTTATAGGATCTGTTCACTATAAATGGATTTTTCACTTATAATGAGTTTCTATTAAGGTATTCAGAAATCACACAGGATGTGGGACAATTCTTTATTATCTAGGATAGATTATTTGGTTTCCCAGGCCCTGAGATTTCTGAAGTGCCTCCCAAGAAGTGGCATTACCATTTTCCTAGCTAAAATCAGTAGGGAGAGAAAAGGAAAATGGATTTTAGAAGGCAAATAGCAGTTAACTGACTCACTCTCTCTTTCATTGTTGGTCTTCACCATCTTCCTGTAGGATTTCCTAGTGTTCTAAATTCTCCTCTGTAGGATAGAAGTGCCAGCCAACACCCAGACCCTCATGGGAATAGTCTTATGTATCCCAAGAACTTACTATTTTCTGCAGTAAACCTAGTCCTCTTCCGTTTAATGAACAGGTGAAAATTATACCATGAGTAATGACATTTATTTAAGTCACCATTTTACTTAACTTTGGCTTTCTCTATTTTCCTTGAATAGGACTACCTCTTTGGTACACTCTCATCCTTTTGCATTTCCATGTATTCTCACAAGGTGGCACCGAATGCGTTGCTGTGGGTTGTCAATGCCTGTATCGAGGCTTAGCTCTGTCTCCTTGGGGCTTCTGTCTCTTAGGGTTAATGTTCAACAGCGGGTGGTGTTCAGTATCGGTATTAACCAAGATATAAGAACACTCCACCTGTCTTTCTCTACTTAGGTGTGAAGAGCTTTAATTTATAATTAACAATGAAAGGCAAAATCATTAAGTAGTATAATCCTATCTTAATGAATATTTTAGGGTGTTTTGAGTCCTTGAAATGTTTTAGCCATTTTCTTGGCAAATATTGGTTATGCAGTTAGTACAGTGTTATAATGCATCTAATTTTAGCCTTACTAGAGATGTAAATTCTCTTAATTTGCATTTATCTAAGACTTCCTATGGCTATAAAACTGCAAAGAGGAAGAATATGAGGTGAAAGCCGATAGTATCCGGATTTAAGTTGTTTTCAGTCAAATTATTGAGGCAGCTTAATTGCCATGTCAAAGTTTGACAAGCATCTAATCTGCAGGTAACTTTCTTTAAAATTTAAAATAAACATGTAGAATTAATAAAGAGATACTTCCTGGAGAAGAATGACAACCAGACAAGTATCACACAGTTTCATTCCACAGTGATTGGTCTCTTGAGAGCCTAACTCCACATTAACAGTACCTAGAAGAGACTGGTGTAGAAAACCACAAGGCTGTCTTACTCTTTACATGATACAAATACTCATGTTTGCCTGACAGCACATTTTTGCCCTGGAAACAAATGTACATGGAAAGTCAGAGTATAAGCAGAAGATGCTTATCAGGTGTGGACTCAGAGCAGCAGAGTGGATTGGATGATCTTAATCATGGTGTCATCAAATAGCCTGTTGACATGGTCTAGATTCTCGTGATCATGGGCCAGGCTCCTCTCTCCTTAGGAAAGCATTGACAGTACATGGCCCGCCTTTGCTTCTCTGAGTCTCCCTTTTTTGTAATTTCTTCATTGATCCCACACCCTCATTAATCACACAATTCTCATTAAACCACACCCTGCCCTACCTCTTTCATTAGATGTGTAATGCATGCAGTCATTTGTAGTTGGCTTCACTTGGGAGCCTTTATTTTTCTTAAAGTAGTTTTCCTCCATGGGCATAACCTGGAAGATGCTCCCAGCAATTCAGCTCTTAACCCATTGGCTAGGGCATAGGTCCCCCAGCTTTCTCAGTTCTTGGTGCCTTAGTTTTTCAGTCTCAGATAGATATCTCAGTCTATCTTAGTATTTCCACAGCCCTTCTTGGCCAAAAGCAATACCTAATAGTTAAAACAACTTAGTAAGTCTGTATATCCTTAGAACTTAGTAGCCGTTCGAAAAAAAAAAAACACAAAAAAAACACATAAATTGAAAGAAAAAGTAATGTTTAAATTGCATTCTTAGGTAACTACAATAATCTCAAGCCTGGGAATGAGACTGAACATCACCACCCTCATTTCCTGTTCTACATTCCTTTTCATACTACACTTGCTCTTTATCTCAGCAGCCACCAAAATCCCAACTTCACAACAAGGCAATGCCTTTCAAAAGAATATAGGGGAAAAAGAAAAAAAGAATATAGGGCAATTTAATGTTGGAATTGTGAACTACCTCAAGCTAGTAGCACACAGGGTGTCCTATAGATGCCAACTCTTGCTGTTTCCCTCAAAAATTTAAAATATTCATGGTGCTTTTGCGAGTTCACCATGGTTCTCTGGGTCCCTGGGACACAGTTTGGGAACCACGGGGCTAGAATTCAGTCGTATAGCTGCATCTAGCTGCAAGGAGATGAAGAAATGAAATCTATTTAATTTAATCTAGTGACCTCTGCTCCGATAGATCAAATATTTAAATATTAATTTTACATTTCTGCTTTCACAGTGCTGTCTTATATCCCTGTTGGTCAATTATTGAAGGGCAGATGATTATTTCCTCCTTGTAATAATTATAACCATAATAATGGTCACTATTTATTGAGCACTTATATGTAATAAGTGCTCTACTAAGGTGCTTTTCATATATGGTCTCACTTAATCCTCACAATACCTTTTGAGGTAGGTACAAGTATTATTCTTATGAGATATATATATATATCTATACACATA